CACATTATATTCCTTACTCCGATCCAAATTAAGATAGATCTTACGCTACGAAATGCAAACAAAGTTTCCCGTTGCCTTATGCCTTATTAATCATTGTCATAGAAAAGTTTGGGGTTACAACAAATATCCTAAGTTTGAAATGCTTCGTTATCTACTTCTCGTAAATTCCTGATTCCTTTAAGAAACAGACGTACCGTTTCGAAGGCAAGTTTAAAATTTCCCACGTCAACTCAGAGAGCTCATTTGGTGACTGAGTCATGCTTTTTGACTTGATCACTTGGTATTCTTACATAAGTAGCTCTGCAAACTTTACTCAAGGATCAAGGAACTGATATCCTTTAGTCTCAACAATGAAACAGTAGTATTTTCGTTACCGCTGTGTTTTCTGCACAACAGATGTGACCAGAAGTGAACAATATACCTAGAATAAAACATTTTAAACAATTCTCGGAACTGTGAGCGCCACTTTTTGATTACAAAAGAGTCTGACTATAAGAATGAATAGAAGCAATATGACGGATTAAGCAAGATTGCATTGAGACAGAAAGTTTCTCAACCGAAGAACAAGGAACACATCATTGCTTTTTCATTATATACTTGTTCTTCAAATAGAATTGTGATGAAATCTTCCAAAAACTATCCAGTAACCTTGACATGCTGTGGCTTTTCTCTGCAGCTGGAGAGGTCGTACACCAGGCACACAAGCACATAAAAAACAAGAAAGGAGATTTGACATTCTTCACTCGGTGCAGTTAGCACAAGTTTGCGCTTCGCTTCAGTTTTCATAACAATGCATAGGAGTAATCTCGTAAGAGCTTTTCCTAAGTTTCCTTCAGTTTACAACATAAGGCCCTTTAGCTAGTTGAGCAAACGACTGCATGAGTGCTGAGCCCACTAAGCTTCATTAGGTTTTCTATCTGTGACGTTTGTATTACTGTCTGAGGTCAAGTGTGGCTCCTCTCGCGGCTGATCAGAACCTTTGAAGAACAAAGGGTTGTATACAGTTGAACCTCTTGCCCTAATAAACAGACAAAGACAGAAAGTTAAGTTAAAATAGTGAATACTAAACCCCTTGCAAAGCCAAACTCGTTTCATTCAACCCCTTTTGAGGGTTGCAACAAGCAGCAGAGTGCACTGGACTGTGCATCAGTACCAAAGATGGCAAACAATAGCGATCGATTCCGAAGGGTTTTCTCATAGTTCTCCAACAGTTCTCCTCCCTACAAATTAAAAATCCCTCCAAACCCAAATTTTACTTGGAGAACGGATGACACGAAAAGCCCCATCGTGATGGTGTCACTGCTAAAATTCAAAATATATTTCATGCCATGTCTGCACTGAATCAAGATTGTACAAACCCTAATCTGTTCACCACTTAATTGTTACGGCCGTGGAACGCTAAAATGTTATACTAACGTCGCCATTCGTGTGGCAAATTAAACCTTTGGTAAGTTTTAGCCCAACCAGTTTGTATAATTCAGATTCCAAACAAACCAAAAACAAGAATAAATCAATTAATCTCCGCCATCACTAGGAGTCACCCACCCAACTGCAGGCGAGGCGTAATTTTGCATCACTTTCTATGATTCCTAAAACGAACTTAGTGAAAAAGGATATTTATGGCTCTAGGTAAATGGAAAAGTTTTCCAAATGCGTGAAAAATAACCATGGACGGATCCGTGAGTTCTCCCTCTGATCTTAAGAACAAGTCTCTGTAAGAATCAAACATCTAGGGAAATAAACATTTTCAACCCCCCTTCAAATTTTGCATGCAGTTAGGCACTCAGGGGGAAGCGTACATGTTTATGACAATTGATCGGTGTGAGGATACTTTAGTGTAGATTAGCCGACTTCAACATGTTTCAAATGACATATAGGTATATCAGTGTATCTTCAGGGGACTTCGGATCGCTCAAATTCCCATGAAAGAAGGTGCAGCACTCGGAATCTGGATGTTATGCACACGATTGAGGTATATGTTTGTAGTTATGTCGAGTAGTCCTCCAAGAAGTTTGATCAAGTTTTTTTTAAAAGATGACAACCAGAGGCGAGATTTCTCTTCGGGATATTGCTCATAAGATAAATTTCTTCCAAAGCCGTGTATGTTTCATTTGTCTAAAACATTTGCTGTTGAGAACATTAGATGTAAACATCGCCAAATTATGCAATATCTGATTTTGAGCTTTTTTCGCGTATTAAAAGTAGAGGCAGGCCCGCAGAGATTTTTATATATTTAAAAAATAAAATATTATTATCAAGCTAGGTGGGTAGTTTCAGTTCCAGAATCGGTGTACTTTTGGAGAAATTCAGATAAACGTTTTCCCTGTTTTACCCGACAACAAAAATGACCGAAACTGTACCGAGATGAATAATCTATTGGTGTGTTCACATTCACTCTCAGGGAAAACTGAATAAATCAAATTGAAGACAAATGATGTCACTATGTATGGTAGAAGTGCCAATGTGTATTGTTGTATTTAGCTTGAGATAGAGAAATAAACATTTCACTCTTTTTTTGCGACGTTTTTGTATGAAAATGAGGCCCCAGGCCTCGAACAAGCAGTCGTTGTTACCATGGCAACAAGAGTGCTGCGACCTTTAAAAAGGGCATTTTTGTGCATCCCCCTGAGTGCCTAACTGCATGCAAAATTTGAAGGGGGGTTGGAAATTTTCATTTCCCAAGATATTTGATTCTTACAGAGACTTGTTCTTAAGAAAGAATACCACACACAGAGATCAAATAAAGTGCACAAACTTCAAATAAATTGATACGTGGCATTACAAATTGCGTTATAGGCTCACTCTTTTCCAAGACTCCGCAAAGAGCTGTGAAGATTTCCCAGTGTTATGTCTGTTTGTTTCGTGCACCCTAAAAGAAACATGGATAATTTACCTCTTATCTCAGTTTCGGTACTTGACCATCAATCCAAATATTTTCATTGCTTTTTAGGACTTGTCCCTGATTTCTTCGTACGTTTGCTTTGCACTTTCAAACAAGAAGTTCTAGCGAACCGTATTCCACTACAAACAATACTTCTATTTAGGCGCTTCCCGTATAATCTAAATGCAACTCGAATAATTGTATTTTCTGTAAAGTCTTCGTCTGAAAGTGAGATTTATAAGTTTTGTTTGTAAATAAAACATGTCATCGAATGAAACCTTAACAAAATATTTTTATTCGACCATCTTATCCACGTAAAAGTTTTCATAAATGATGTATGGCTGTTACGTCGGATTTCGTGTAAACCAAGTGTCAAGTGCTCTTAATACGTCGGCGAGGTTGTTGAAACACGGAGAATTCTGCTCCACATAAGGAACACATTAGATACATAGGAATATTTTAATTAGTTCGGATAGGGAAGGCGGCGTGAAGCAATATGCATAGACTCTAACAGTGCGGCTTGTTGAAACTCAGGCTTAAGATCGCTATCAACTTATGAGGGGCCGATGAAATCCAATCTAGTGGCGATTAAAAGATTTTACCACATGCCATTTGCTTATAATCAAAACTGGAAAAGTTGAAAAGCAATTAGATAAGAATTCTGCCAAGATTTTACGAGCTTTCCGCCGAGAAATTCAGTCTGGTTTTCCGAAGGGTGGTCTCAATTGAAAGAGTTGCTTGCCTAACGTACGAGTTTCTGTCGTTACGATAATTCTCTCATTGCTTCATTTAGTTTCTGTCCACACAATAAATCTGTTGTTTGTCTGACCTACTATCAACGAGGCCATTTTCCGAAGGAAACAGCACTTAGAAGCCACTTGGCGGTCAGAAGTTTGTTAAACATACTTGCAGAAATTTAAACAGAGCTTCAAAAAAAATTCTCCAAATATTTGTGATCGATCGCCGCGCTAAAGTTACCAAGAAAGGAGGTTTTTGAGTTCACGTGTGTACCCTTAGAAAACTTTTTACGCAAATTTCGCGACCGTGGTCTGATGTGAGCTACAAAGTTGAGTGAGAAGAACATCTTTATTACAATGGACACGTTATTATTGCAAAATAATTACTATATTATGTACATATGACCAGCTTATTTAATTTTTTTAACTGGAATCTCAAGAAAAAGTCAAAACTCCAAGCTAAATTATATAATGAAATCGCAAAGACACCATTACAGCAGATTTGTTGACACCAGTGTGAGGTCTTACTTCGGCTTGAACCGCGTATGACTGTCTTTTTTACACGCCGCCTTAGAAAATACCACTCGTGGTGTAAAAACCGTCGACCGCGTTCGTCTGCAGAGCACGTTTATACGCGCGCACAAAATTTATCTATGTCAATCCGTTGCTTTTCTTTTACCTCTGATAAATGAAGCTAACATGTACGAATAAAAAACCCACAGGCACAGAGTAAATGATACACCATCAACTGACCAGCGGTACTGTTATCGACACTGGGGATCATCATGTCTGGGTCTCTGGGCGAAGCTAAAGGCTAAAGAGAAAGGTACTCCTAATGTTGCAGAGAAATAACATAATTTTGTGAAAGTAGCATAAAAAGCCGCGTTCATACAGAAATGTGACGAAGACAACGAAAAGTGTGGAAAATCAAGCGACTGCGTAATACCATCCAACCCGTTTCATTTATCGTTTTTTTTTTGTTTTGTTTTGTTTTGTTTTTCCGTTAAAAGTATTGTGCTCGGTCGTTATTGCTTCCGAACTTGCTGTCCTTTTTCCTATGCTGTAAGATAGTGGCTCACGAAAATTTCCGATAAAAGCTACTTATAATCACATCATTTACTGCTGTAAATGTAATGAATTTTATTGAAAAATTGTAGTTTTCTATGCGCTTCAACACTAATCAACGCACATTATACCCGAAACCTTTCAACACTACATGTATTTGCGTTAAACCAATAATTGTCGCTACCTAACAAATTTTATTACAATGCAAAATTGCGTTGTTTCCATATGGTTCGAAACTCTTAACGAATATTGATATTGCGTTATAAATGTTTACACTACTTAAATTTGTCAGTGAAGTTTTTCATGGTTTTTTTTTTCTAGACAAAATCTATTTTTAAATGTTACTCCTTTCATTGCCACATTCTAAGCTCAAAAATTAAATTGGGCAAATGATACTGAAAAGTTTTGGGCTGAAAATAGATGGAAAAATATCTGTAAAATTGAAGAAAATCTCTTCCTTTGTTAAATTTCAAGTAACAATTTTCTCTTCCTCGTCCCCCTTGGTATTCTTTTTGTATTCACGCGCTGAGCGCGTGATTTCACAAATTAGCCAATCACGTCCAAGAACTCTAACCTTGATATTGGAAAACAGACGTGGACATTTTTCGCGAACTTTTAGTTTGTTTAAGCAGAGTTTTAGTGGTTTGTGATCTTTCGTTCGCGTAAATCTCTTCCCCTTTGCTTGAAAAATTTAAGAAGTTTCTATTTTAGCCAAATGTTATGGTTCATTTAACAAGTTTAACACATATTTTCTACGGAGTTTGGACTCTAGTCTCTTTTTTCGTGAAAGGATTTTTTAAAATTATTCTACTTTCCCGTTATCATTTATTATCACTCCCCGTGCGTCGGTTCAGTCACAGATGACAGATGACGTCATAATGTGGAAGCTGAATTTGTCACTGATGTTCTTACCACATATTGACGTCTTCTTTGATCTTTTACTGTACAGACCCACTGTAACATGGAATATATATACATCATACAATAATAAAATACCATAATAACATAATGATGACGTCATCTTTTTCGTCATCAATCCTCCAATGGATCAAAAGTAAAAAGCAATCAAAACGAGTGTATATTTCAGCTTACTATGGAAAAGTCAACAAAAGCCCTTTATTACAGACACTAAGTGATAAACATAACTTCCGCTAGTTAAAAAGAAGTCCATTTCCTCATTATCAGTTATTCCCATACCGAGGATAGTATTCTTTGCAAAAGCAAAAGTTCTCAGCTAAGTCTCTTCGATTTAAATACTCGTGGCACAATGCCTGGCACAGAAAACGATACGTAGCATTCGAAGCGTTTTTTTCCTTCCACAAACGTAACATTTGATAGGCCCTCTCACAAAAATCACGTCCTCTTTCATCGATGTCATCAAGGTCTTCCTCGCGAATACCCAGCAGGCGTCCAAGCTTCCTCCAGCCTTTTGAGATGGAGTTCGACAGTCCCTGGTGATCATCATTACATAGAATGCCTTCTTTCAATTTTTTTCCTACGAGTATTGAAAGAAATGTCATAAAAAGAGCGCAGTAGAAGAATGAAAAAACCAGAATTTGATTAAAGTATATTTAACATACCTGCGAGAAACACTTCCTCGGGAATGAACGTCTCCCCTCCTTGGTTTGTCTCTGGTCTATCAAAATCTGCAAATAAAAGGTGTATGATTGGATTCAAACTTGACCGCGTTGAATCTTGGTTAAACGAGGAAACAATGGAAAGAAATCAAAGCTATGGAGACAAAATAACTCTTTAAGTAAGGGGGGGTAGGAAGGGAGGGGCTTCTTAAAATATTAGGGGGGTAGAAGTTGGGGCGCTCATTCGAGGTTGGACATTTGAATAAATTTGACCTGATAGCAAGAGTGCTCGAGAGTAGGCAATGATTCGGAGATCTTCGGCTTGAACTCAGTCTCTTAAGTACCTAAACCAATTACGATGTTTTCGACATTTGAATTTTACATTGTGTATAACTTGTAACATCGCGACCTTAAAAAGTGACATTTGTTACCTGTGCGAGCAATCTTAGCAGGAACCATTGATTGCGCAGTCTGGTACGGTAGTACTCGCTTTCCGAAATGAACAGAACTGCATTGCGCCAAAGAAGAGACCGCTGAGGAATACAAAGAAACCATCAATTCTGTTTCATTCTTCAACATTACTTAGCAAGTCTCTCGGTTAACGGCAACGAGGGAAAAAAAAGCAGGCACTCAAAAAGAGTAAGGGTCACGCAACCTGTTTTTCGCTCGCCAGCTCTTTCACTCCTCCCCACTGATTGAGAGCCTGGTAAAGGCAAACATACGTGGCTCACGGAGTTAACGAGTTTTGAAAAACACTCAAGGCTATAATTTCATTTTTAGTCCAGATATTATTTTATTTTACGGGAAAATGAGCTTGTTTAGTTGCGTTCAATTTAACATTGTCGGCCATAAGGTATCAAATTACTTCGTTGGCTTGTCCTAATGACGACAGGGGCAATGAAAACATAAATTGTTCTTCTTGGTCAGAAAATGTTGAGTTTTTGTGACAAACGTGGGACAACTAAGAAAAAGTTTAATCAAACTTTGCGCACGTTTCAAGTAAAATTAGTTATAATTAGTTACCCTTAGTCTGAGGAAAGCTTTGTAAAGACTTGCCACTGTGGTTTTCACCATTGGCATCGTCCAAGACCTGAAGTCAAATAAATTACTCATAGTGTTAGTATTCTCCAAATAATCATACAAAGGGGAAATCTGGCAACTATAGGGACAAAAATGCTTTCGGGCAAAGTCCTGAGAGTCCTGAGATCAACTGGAACGTCAAATAGGAGACAAAAGGAACGTATTTCTTCGACGTTTTGAATGTTATCATCTTTAGGCCGCTCAGTGGCATATCAAGGTCTGACCAAACCTAATTCGAATCCCCTTCGCAGGTTAAATACAACGAAAACCTGATCGCAAGGAACTTGAACTGGCTTTACCTGACTCCAAGTCTTGGGCGGACAAAACTTTGGACCCTGTGTACGCGTGCAAACGAAAGGCTTCCTTGTCAAGGAAACATAATGCGCACAATCATCGTGGCAACATTCTACTTCCGCATGCCAATAACACTTTCCGGTTCCATGAATAAACTGGCGTAGACACAAATCGCATCTAGCGCAGAGATCCCATGATACTTTTTGCAGCCAATGACACTCCTCGTGCAACCTCTCCAAACTTGTCTTCAAAAAGCTAAAAGAGAGGGAGAGATTTTTGTCAAAGAGGTTGATATCTTTTCTTACAAATCTTTGACGTGCATACGTTAATGTCCGGAAAGTTCGTAATGTACACAATGTTCACCTGAGAGAAATGAAGTAAACCGTAGCCTCCTTTGAAACAACATCTTGACTATGACATCCATTACACTATCAAAGGGTTAACGATGTTATGAGCAAACCAAACTTGTCGGATCAATTCACATCGCATCAAAAACCACTTCCGATTACACGAACTGATAATTCATGTAAAAGTTACCACCCTATAATAGAATGACTAACTTACGTGCACCTACCTTAAGACCTCTGAGCAAACTTTTGGCTCGGTCTTGACAGGGTCCATACTTAGATCGGTGAAATTCCATACGTGTACTTTGATCACACGCTTGTAGCAAACAAAATCAACTGCAGTCTGATCTCCCAAATAGAAACGAGCTGAGTTAGCCCACAGCTTTGCCTGATCACACGCAATTCGTCTTTGTACAGATTCGAAGAAAAGGACAACCATTCTTGAAAATAGACCACCAGGGACGTACTGAGTGGTGAATGTGATATAAACTGGTGCAGGGCCTGGATTAACAGAAACGTCCGGCATAAATGCATCGTCAGGTGTGGAGGTCAGCATACACGGAACAAGATACACGGAACTGCCATCTTTTCCCGTATATTCACAAAGAAGGTTGAACTTCTTCATGAGGAAAAGTAAAGACTCCTTGATGTCGCCAACGCCCAGTTTTGTGCAAGAGTAATCAAGCAGTTTAGCATCAAGAATGCCGTTCTTGCCAAGATCTTTGCGGAGATTTGAAATGACAGTTTTCTCTTCTTCTTGTTTTTCAACCGTTATTATCTGACACAAAACATCAATCAACCACCTTGGATTCAAAACAACCAGACTTAGTGGATCGTCCGCTCTACCATGATAAACCACTGTGCCACGATCGTGCAAAAAGTGTAAAAGTACTTCATAGTCACCTTCGACCTCAAATTTGCAAATTTGGTCACAGATATTCTTTCGGAAGTCTTGCCTTGTGACATAATTTTTCCCCGCGCTTGCTAGCTTACGAACTTCATTTTCCACTTGGAGCCACTTCAAAGGAACCTCAACTTTTGTATGTGGCATGGTATCTGCAACCTTCAGAATCTCTTTCCGTAAGGCAACAACTTGGAGATCTTCTTCCTCTGGTTTATTACCAGCAAGAGTGTTGTTCACTGCAAATGTTTTTCCGATTATGTGTTCACTGAACTCTCTTACTGTGTCACAAATGATGTCCTTTACACTCGTAATCACGATTCCGGGGTCTCCTTGCACATGGTCGGCATGTGTTCCAACCAAAATGACAGGTGGTAATACTTCGCCATTCTTTTCGTGTTTGAAGGAATTCACCATGTCCATCCACCTCATAATGTGATCTAGGTTTGTGTCATTCTTGTCAGGAGACGGAATTTTAACTTCGTCGTAACCAGGCTCTTTCACGAAACATTGGGCTAGGGCAGAAAGATCCTTGGTAAGATCCACCACCAGCAGATAAACTGCTTCACGCGAAACGAGAATAGGATGAATGGCACGGTAAATGGCTTGACCACCAAAATCCATGCAAACTGGCCAAATGCCGTCATCCTTCACGGACTCTTTCCTCGAGAGGTTTTCAGCTGTAAGTCGCACCACTTCATCAGGCATGTCACTGTTTCGCTTCTCATTATGCACGTTGTCCTCTTCTCTTATCGGAGAAATTGCATCCGATTTCACCTGAGTCCTCGGTTCTATGTCATGATCTTGCTTTATGTCCTGAATCGAACCCAAAATAGATACCAGTCAATTCAATTTGCAAATTTGGAATGGAAGTTGGCCATAAATAAATTACTTTAATATCACCTTTAAATATAAATAAACAATAAAATGCGTTGAAAACCTTTGGCAAGCTCTTCGGTTCAACCTCATTGAAGAATTCTGAAAAAAAAAATTTAGTTTTGATTAACTTCATTTAACCCAGTAATATTTCGCTTTTTTGCTTTAGTTGTCGTTGCTGTTTTTCTTTTTTTTTTTCTTTTTTGTTTTTTGCGTTACTTTGACAGCTTGTTTTTAAAGTTTAAAAACGTAAGATTCTAATATTGCGTGTCGAGTAAAGTAATAGAAACACTCAAGAAAATTCCGTAAAGTTCTGTTGTTTTCCTTGTTACGATAAAGTCGTGAGCTTAGCCATGCATACTGATTTACAAATAACATGATGTAACCATACAATGCTCTAGACGCATATCTACATGAGTGAAATTCATTTCAAGCTGTTGATGGTATCACTCGATAAGCTGTCAACAAAGATGTGTTGCGGACCTGCCGAGAAAACTGGTTAAATGGCGACGTAAAAACCCATTTAAAAAATCGTCATTACTTGTATGGAAATCATCAGTCACAGCGAGGTATTTAATGTTAGAACTCCAATAACAAACTATGTCCTACCACGTCCCCTTCCAGTCTTAGGTAGCAACTTGTAAAAGGTAATGTAACGTGCAACCTCCGTGATTTGCTGGTGGAAAGTTTTTCAACAGCACAGAAACCAAATCAACATTTTGTATTGAGGTACATACCCTGGTTTGATCCTATTTCGCTGATCACCTCCTCCGTTCTCTGTGTCTCACAAGTCTCTCTTTCCTTCGCAACTTCGCTGTCCACGTAAATTTGGTTTGGTGGTTTGGTGGTTCAGTTAGTAACAGCTTACTAATATTTAGAGCACATTTGTGATGGAAGGTACTTTTTTCTTGTTCCTCTTTGGAATTCTTCCATGGTTTTTCACCAACATGTTTCAGAGGCATGTCTATTTGCACCCCCACTGTGCTAGATTCATCTTGTCGAAATAGTTCACCTTTCAAAGAACGTGCGACACTAGTTTTGCCAACGCGGTCTTGGCCAATCAACAAGATTTTAGCCCGTTTATCGAATGTCTTTCCTGTTTCAAGAGCTCTCTGGTAAGCGGCCTTCGCGGTGGGTCCTCTGGCCATAATATAGGGCGGGACCGAGTGCTCAGTTTGGAACTTGCTCAAAGAAGAGACATCAGCTCTTTCAGATCTATTATTTTTGGAAAGAATGGTTTGCGCTCGTTCATTCCAATGCTTTGCCTGCTTAGGGGTACCAATGACATCACAGATGGTGGCCAGGTTTCTGCAAAGCATTGCCACGTATATATTTTGAGGTCCTGACCTCTTCACGAAAATGTTACGCGCAAGCTCAAAGTTATCCTTTGCTTGCAGAAGATCTCCAAGGGAACTACAAACTGTCCCCAAGTCACTGTAAGAAAGTGCCACGAAATCGTGCTCAGGTCCTAAATTCTTCAAACGAATATCCAGCGCACGACCATGATAGTCCTTTGCTTGCTGAAATTCACCAAGGGCATGAGTTACGGTCCCCAGAGCACTGTAAGAAGCTGCCACGTAAACATGCTCAGGTCCTAAATTCTTCAAACGAATATCCAGCGCACGACCATGATAGTCCTTTGCTTGCTGAAATTCACCAGGGGCACAAAATACGGTCCCCAGAGCACTGTAAGAAGCTGCCACGCCAACATGCTTGGGTCCTAAATTCTTCAAACGAATATCTAGCGCACGACCATGATAGTCCTTTGCTTGCTGCAATTCACCAAGGGCACCACATACGGTCCCTAAGCCACTGTAAGAAGCTGCCACGTCAACATGTTCAGGTCCTAAATTCTTTAAACGAATATCCAGCGCACGACCATGATAGTTCTTTGCTTGCTGAAATTCACCAAGGGCACAAAATACGGTCCCCAAGCCACTGTAAGAAGCTGCCACGTCAACATGCTCAGGTCCTAATTTCTTCCAACAAATATTCAGCGCACGACCGTGATAGTCCTTTGCTCGCTGAAATTCACCAAGGGCACCACAAACGGTCCCCAAGCTACTGAAAGAAGTTGCCACGTCAACATGCTCAGATCCTAGATTCTTCAAACGAATATCCAGCGCTTGACTATGATACTCCTTTGCTTGCTGAAATTCACCAAGGGCACTACATACGGTTCCCAAGTCACTGTAAGACGCTGCCACGTCAACATGATCAGGTCCTAAATTCTTCAAACGAATATGCAGCTCACGAACATGATTGTCCTTTGCTTGCTGAACATCACCAAGGAACCCAGATGCGGTTCCCACGATACTGTAAGAGGTTGCCTGGTCAGTCATGCTCAGGTCCACCCTTCTTGAAAGGAATCCCCAGCGCACGATCTTGCTAGACACTAGTATACTTTCTTCATATCGAAAGACGAAATTACAAGAGTTTTCACTGAGTCAAAAGATGACAACGGTCAACAAAAAGTGAATTATTTTTACTGAAAAAGAAACAATATTACTGAAGAAATTCTAAAATGAAACAATTGTTAGGAACGACCTACTAAGCTACTTTCTAGAGTACACTTTCTTTATATCGAACGACGAAACTACAAGAGTTTTCAATGAGTCAAAAGAGTACAATAGCCTGAAACAAGTGTTAGGAACGACTAACAAAGCCAGTTTCATGAAGGGTTACAACTTCTACAACTTTCAAGAGGAGAGCACGAAGGTTTTGTGTCATTTGAGAGGTGCACAAAAGTTAACGGAAGTTTTAGATGCAAAAGATTACCTGGTGGAGATGGGTTTACATTCGAATTCTGCTCGTCTTTTTTTAAGTCTACTAGCAATGATATCGCAAATTCTCTCACTGCTGGCTGGGAAGATAGTTAACCATCAATCTCACAACGAAGGGTGGTAATAAGTCTCGGTTATACCAACAGAAACTTTAAAAACTGCAAAAGAACAACTTGATTAGCGTTTATACAATGGACAGTCACTATTTTTTTTCACACGATTGGCTTACTTTCATAACACAAAAAATTATTAGAGAAATGTTTCCAGTGTTCACGATTTCCACTAAATAACAACCTCTTTGATTTGTATCGTTTCTTAATTGTAAAGATGACCACAATGACCACAGCTTCTTCATAAATGAAGACAAATGACTGGCATAAAACTGTACGCAATAAACTGGGCAAAATGTATGTAATATCACAATTGCTTAAAAATAATGCAATTTTATCTTATTAATGAAATGGAATGGGCAAAACATGCCATGTTCCATTGTGTAACAGAGCAAAAATACTGACTGAAGGCAGAGTAACAAATAGTCAAACTCAACACTCCTAACCTTGAGTTTGTCTTCTGTTTAATTTTTGTGCTACTGCCTGCGAGCGTGCAAGTAATCTCTTAACCCTTTACACCCTAAAATCAGTATGCATATTCTCCATACTGTTCTCGATACATTTCCAAAGATCTAACAAGGAAAAATTTTAAAAACCATCAAAGCTTTGTTAGTTGCTGGTTATATTCTTTTTTCTCATGATTTAGACATTTGATTCAAGGGATAGAAAGAAATTAGAACCTTGTATATATATATATATTCCATATATATATGGAATTGATGAAAAACTTAACAAAGGAAATATCTATGAATAGTAGGCTAAATTATCTTGATGTGAAAAAACTAGGTAAGCTTTGTCATACTGGGCAGTCTCTTGTGGGTAACTACGATATCTCTTCCCTTCACTTCTAGTCACTCTCAGAGAATTTGCAGAGCTGAGTATATTAATTACATTCACCTCTTTAGATACAAAAGTCGTTCCTCAGTGCCACATAGATTTGTTTCATAAATAACTTGATATTCCAAATAAAAATAAGGAACAAGGTTAACAGACTCTATCCAATTTCATGATAATGTGCAAAGTGCAATCAGAGGTCAACAAAAAAAATCAAAATATCAACCAATCAAATAGATGAGCATCTCCTCAAGAAACTTCATTGTGCTGTATCTAATAAATCCAGGTCCTTCCTTTAGCTGAAAAAATGATTGAGTGAACAAGATAAAAAAAGCAGAAAATATTTGGTGTCCAGTCCAGATTTTCTGTGTAAGCACATATCCCATAGGTAACAAGAGGGAAAACAGCTGTAAAGTGCTATTGAAACTCCACTCCTTCAATGTTTCCTTTGAACTGGCCAAGCAAAACAAGCAAACCAATGCAAAAGCATAGACGAAAGTGCAACTGTTATGAATTACCATCTGTTGTAAGTGGTATGCATGATAGCAAAGATGAATTTGGATACTAAAATCTGGTTATTAAAACAAAGTTGAACCCTTGTTCATCCAAACTGCATGCTAGATAATCTTAAATCAAGCAGAAAAAAACACTAAGTGGCAAGGTATTTGCAAAACTGTTGAAAGGGCTTGTTTTAGCAGTAAAAGTTAAATCTAATTACTTTACCCTCCCCCAACATAAACTTTCAAATTCCATTGATCATCAAAATCCACTGCCCAATTTAGGCTTTGTTCCAATAACCGAACCTAACTGTTTCTATATCATATCTTTTCACTGAAGAAGAGAAATTAATGTTATGGTTTCCAGTTATCTTTTCGCATGGAAGACTTGCCACGAAGGTTGCTGGCTTATTAGGAAAAAATTCAAAGCTTTAGGCAACTCTCAAGTTTGATTTTGAGTCTCATGAGCATCACTATAAGAATGCCATGAGCAGTACCACAGAGCCATGCTGAAGACTTGATAGTTTTTTCAAGATGGCAGAAGGTGAGTCAAATGTGCATAACACTCAAAATGCCACCAATTTGATCTGATAAGAAATATCAAATGGACCATTGAACAACAAAGTCAAGCCTGTAAATAATTAAAATGTTCATCAAAGGAAAAGTAAACCAAATTGACCATAACTTTTTAATCAAAAAAACAAATGACAAGATCAACAAGAAACAGTATCAATCACATGCATTTATTTTTGTCTACAAGACAAGTGCTTTGAAAGCTCACAAAGAGATCCTGTTAACTTTTTAACCCATAACAACCATCAGCAATAAATTAGAGCTAAAGCAAACATATAGCTATTTAATCAAACATTTAATGGCTCTACTTAATACAACAATTGCCATCGGATGAGAGTTTGATGGTGAGGTAAAATGCCTTTGTGGCAAGATCAATAATTTAACACAAAGCTGATCAATTACAGATATTCTGTTAATTGACTGCTTTTATTTAAGCTTTACCCAAAAACTTTTACATTTTAAAAAACCCTGACTTACTGGTTATTATAGTTATTTTAAACTCTGTGGAACAATTGGATCTGACCTCTTAAAAGCAACAATTTTACACTTTAGTGCCAAGCTCACTGGTGGCCAGTCTCCCTGATGGCAAGGTGACTGAGTACCTATACAATTACTAATTGATCAAAACTGTGATTAATACAAATTTTCTTAAGGCAAGCGATCTACATGTAGCTTTGGACGTTTGATGGTTTGTTTGACCTCCAAACCCATTAAAAACCTCATCGCCGCCAAAATTACCCAAATCCACCTCAATAACTCTCCTAATGCTGTGCACCCTGTTTTTTTAATCGTAATTTTATCGTAAGCTACATGCAAATTGAGAAAATAATCTCCCTCAAACCTGAAACATTTCTATAATGAAAACTCAATATCACCAAAAAGCGGAGGCAAGTATGGTGAGAATTATTACTAAATACAAATATATTCACCAAGAAATGACATTTATCGATGTGTATCTTTATAGAATCAGTTGTTACAAAAATGCATGAAAATACACACTAATCGAAGCTGACATGATCACAAAATCATTACGGGATATTTTAGAAGGCTGCGATTGCAAAAGCTGCCTTCTCCGAGTTAAAGAGGTATTTTAGAAGCCCATTCGTTTAATTTCGATCCCATGTGACATATACAAGTGAACAAGTCATGACAGCAGTCTGCACCGATCAAATAGGGTATCTCCGTTGACTCACCGTGACTGAAATATTTGGCGGCTAATTTATAGCTACTGAACATTAGCAAAGGTAGTATGGTGTACTTACCGGCTTAGAACGTTTAACTCAGATTCATTGCTAACCAACTTCCGCCTTCAGTTGCCGATCGAAGTTGTTTTATGAAACACAGAACCGAT